GTTGTAAAAACACACATGCCTGCATGGATCTATGAGAAAACGGGTTACTTATCACTTGATTTATTACCTGAGCAAACATCTCCCTATTGTGTTTAGTTTCAGAGGAAGGTACTGTAAATAAAGATAACCGGCTCTCCGAGTGACATTCTATATCTCCAGTTTCCAGTGTTGTTTAATTCAGGTGCACTGTCATTTTTATATAATCACGATTGAGTTGAGGATGAAACAGTCAGTCTAGCATAACGCGTCTGATGGAGGAAGTGTCAAGTTGACTGGTTTCAACAGAAAAACAGGAGTGCAGTCACCAAAATGCTCAAATCAGTGTTAAAAAATGGTTGTTCACAAAGAGAGGCTTAAAAAAAAGGCCATTTAGAATACAAAATGCACAGAAAGTTTCTGGAAGAAGTAAATTGAAGATTTAAATGCATTGTATTTTCTGCTGCTGTCTTTTCTTGTTTAATTGTTCATTTGTGTGGGAAAAACATGCATGTGTTTACATTTGTTTATGCCTTCCTTTTGCACCTTAATCATCTGATATGATTGATGCCAGACTTATGGAGGTGTGTGTGTGTGTGTTCCATCTCCACAGTGAGTCATCAGCATTCAGCTTCCCTTAAAACCCCGCTCTGCTTAGGTTTGCAAAGGTGTTACAGAGCTTGTTTGAAAAAGCATGATTCCCTCCCATGCGCCTGCTGATTTCCACTTGATCCGCAAGTCACTCTGTGTGGTTGATTTAATCCGTTATTCTGGGGCAAGAGAGGTTCCCCATTATACACCCACAAGGTCTATAGGGCACAGGGACCTCACCCCCTTGCAACTTGGACTGCAAACACTTTGTGAGATCAAAAGAGTGGAACCAGCCCTGAGCATCACCTGATCTGAATTCAATTAGAGCTTTACAGGAAGAGCAGAGAGGCTAAACAGGCTGAAGAAAATAGCAGTTCCAGACGTTGGATGTGACAAAATGCAAAAGAGAGAACTGGGAGAGACCAGTTTGAGGAAGAGAGCTGAAACATAACCCATTGCTCTGTGTAATAAAAGCACTGAGTTTCTCTCTCACTCCCTCCTCCCTGCCATTCAAATCCACACAGCAAGACCAAAGGTCTCATTCGTTTGCTTAGCCTGTGGGCATATGCGACTTTAATGAGCCAGTGCAGAATGGACATTAGGCAGAAATTCTCATGCTGGAGCTCAGGATCCATCCTCTCTCTGCTCTGCTCATTTTTTGGCAGCCACTTCACAGCATGGTGTCAAATTTAGCTGTTAACCACATGTTTGAAGAGCTGAATGAAGACATTTTCTTCTCTGAAGAGAATTCAGAGATCATCAGTAGATCTAGATTGTGGTTTCATGAGGGTCATGGGAGCTCAATTAATAAAAGGAATAAGCACTTCAGTAGATAAAGAAATAAAAGTGCCTGAAGGGGCCGAACAGTGCACATTCTAAAGGAATCTCCTTAATGCTTCATCAAATACTTTAGGTAAATAAAGGATGCAAAAACATGTGTATTTAAATACACATGTAATTTAAATACAGTTTGTGTAAAAACAAAAACAACAAGTTGGACAGAAAAAGGAAGCAAACATCATTACTTAAATCATCATGCTGGGCTGTGGATGGCAAATAAGTAGAATGACAGAACAAAAACAAACCGGTAAAAATGTCACTTTCATCACGAGGGAAGATGTGATTGTGATCCCTTCTCACTCCTCAGAGGAGCTGTTTTTCCTAACCAGAGGGCAACGAGTAAGGAAATCACGACATCTCTACTGGTCAGGCTCCTTCAAGGATTGCGATATTTCCGGTATCACCTGAAGGCAGCAGCGTGCCACCCCACCTGTGCCATTGTGGAGGAGATGCCCGAGGTAAACCACAGCCGACAGCTCTACCGCACAAAGCCAACATGTGCCCTGAGTCTGAGCGGATTGGAAGTAAGGGCATTGGAACCGCCAGGGACTGAGGAGGAACAAAGTGGCCGATTCGCAGCGAACAGAGGGAGCCCTCAGGGAGATGATCTCTGAAAATACGTGCCATTATCTTCCGGGATTTATGTGAAGCAAACTTCGGAGAGAGAGAGATCTGGTAAGTAATATCAGAAGAAATGGCTCTTGAAGGTTGTTTGGAAATCACTTTTCAGAAGACCCCCAAAACTTTGGACATAAAATCTCAGCGTTTTTTTTTTTTTTTTTTAGAAGGTCCTTTGACACTTGGTGAATGACTTCCAAAAAACATTTAAAGAAAAAAAGCATAACGTACAGTTGCGCACGCTTTTAAGTCACTCGTGCGCGCCTGCTCACGCGCACGCACCGGAGCAGCGCGCGCTCACGGCTCGTCAGGCTTTCTGCAGGAGCTCCAGCTGGATCCGCGCAGTCCGGACACGAGCAGTGAGACAGCGCCATCAGTCGCACGGCTCCAACTCATGCTTAGGAAAAAAAGAGAAAAAAAGAAGTCGGAATGAGTGTGCGAGGAGGGGGTTAATGGGATCAGACTTCCAACATCGCTCACCCATGTTCTAATGCAACAATATACAGACCCCGGGACGCAGTGCCGGCGACTTTACTCTCAGGGTGTTGGGCATTAGTGAGAATAACGAGATGGCTATCTTAAGTATTGATGTTAAAACACTTGAGCGTTCGCAAGTGTTATTACCCTCTTTATTATCATTAGGGAAGCCCTCAAGTGCGATTTAGTCGACAAAATAAGGCCCTTTTCCACATCATCAGGGGTCATTTTTCAGCAAAGCGAGGATGAATAATTGTTTAATTGAACATTAAATTGTTTGTTTATAATCTGGCAGGAAGTCATGCAAAAAAATAACCCGCTACAGCAGCCCAGGATAAGTGCTGTGGTCCGGCCTATTATTGGTTATTTCATTTGGACAGAGTGAGCACTTTAAATGAGCTTTTTGAAAATATTAACAACGCTACTGAGAGAACGTATTCGTGTTGGTGCAAGAAAAGTCCCATTAAACGTAGCCTAATGGTCTCAATTTGCCATTGAAGAAAAATGGTAATGGTAGTTAATCTCCAAAGGTGCATAGAACGCTTTAAAAAGGGGGGATGGTTTGATTATCAAACCGCAAACATGATGAACATCAGGTTTAATTAAATAGAGTTGGAGCGTTCGGATCTAAATTTAGGGCAGGGTACTGGGCGGTAATTTTGGAAATATTTCCGAAAACACAAGGCGAACCACAGGAAAGTGCCCTGGACGTGCGTTTGGAGCGGAAAGCTTTTCTCCTGCCTCGTATAGCAGTCGGTAAGTAGATCCGGACGTGCGCAGCGCGGAGAGATATCGGACAGCTCCAGTGTGGGAGAGAAAGGAGAGCGGAGAGTGAGTGAAAAGAGAGCCCGACTGCTGGTGGCAGATGGAGTAACGGGGCGAGAGAAGTCCACGTATTACCATGCCGAGATTTGGACTACATAAACTACATGCAAAACCTCCAAACATACGAGATTAATGATAATAAAGGTACGTCAATAGTTTCTCTTGCATTTCGCGGGGCTTTGTGAAGTGTATGGTACTTCAGCATCTGTATCTTTGGTCGTGGAAAAAAAGAGAAAAGAAAAGTTGAGCTCGGTTAGGACTGCTATTGTGAAGCCGCGGGGCTCGGAGAGCAACCGACCGCCACTGCGTGCTCTGTCCGCCTCTTTGATGAAGTTTGCTTCTGACCAAACGAGCGGCGAAGCGTACCGTTTTGAGAACGCGAGCACTCGCCGTGAATTGAAAGAAGAGTTTGAACATTGTTCAAATTTTTCGAGGGGGCTTTTCTGGCGTGTCTTTGCTCGGCGCACGGCTGCCATCGTTTCAAGAAGTAAACGGCTGCAGTTGGGGGATGGGGGTTGAAATCAAACCGTCTCGAGGCACCCAACTTCAATTCAAACAGTTAACTTTTTCTTTGTAAAAAAAAAACTAGTTTATACGTTTTATTTTCTGGAAATATGATTAACGCTCGTGGTTTTGCACCCTTTTGCTTTTAAAAAAGCCACAAGTTGAACGTGAAGCTTGATTTTTTTTTTACAATGGTCGTCCGCTAGCAGATGGTTCTTTTGTACCTGCAGGCAGTAGTTTCAGACTTAAGGTGAATTGGGCTCGGCCGCGTCACTTATTAACAGCACATAAAACATTAATAACTAAGCCGTGCCTGGGTCTTTCCGACACGCCAAAAGTAAATAATGTGGATTTTATAAGAGTCATTCTTGCGCTGACATAGCGACGTCTTCGTTTTTATAAGTCTGTGAATGGACTCCTGAGCAGAGCTGGAGGAGCTGGCACGCGGCTGTAAACCGAATTAATCTGTAATCTTTTAAGAAATTACACATCGTCTCAGGCCCGTTTTTTTCCTATTTTATTTTGTTTATAACTTTGACTGCGCCGCAAACAGATTATACTGATAACCTTTGTGCTTAATTTCCCTAGAAAACTCATTTTTTTGCATTTTGTGAAATTAAACAATTCTCATTCTGAGAATGAAGAAGATTAATTGTAAGGCATCAACTGATGCAGTTATATCTGATTTTGTAATCCCATAGCTCTCTATCAGATTCCTTCCTTCAGCAGGGAAATGAAAGATTTACTGGTTTATGTGCTCCCAGGTGCCAGCGTTCTGAACTCATTAAGACGATGTTGGGAGAAATGAGTTTTCGCTGTTGTGAAGTGCACATAGCTGGCATCTGGCTTTGTGCGGATCTGGGAGCATTCTAGTCTTAGATCTTGTCACCTGACTGGCTGCACTTCTCCATCTTATTTCCACACGGAACCAATTTCACCACTTATCAGCCCGGCCGTCGCTTGTCATGCCATTTGAAGCCGTCTGGTTATTTGCTTTTTTTTTCTTCTTGTGCTTAATTATGGCTGATGTCATCTTACCACTAAATATCCAAACTTGCTTTCGTTCCAGGTGCTTCTGTGAGGATCACGGTACTATGATGGGGAAGCACTCGTTGCCACTGCTTGTGCTGCTCCTCCAGCTTTTCTGTGGCTGCACAGGGAACCAAAGGATGGTGAGGTCCGCCTCCATGCAGTTCACCCACTCTGTTTACAACGCGACCATATACGAGAACTCTGCTGCTAAGACTTACTTAGAGAGTCACACCAAGATGGGGATCTATATCACTGACCCGACCTGGGAGATAAGGTACAAAATCATCTCTGGAGACAATGAGAACTTATTCAAAGCAGAGGACTATCTGTTGGGAGATTTCAGTTTTTTGCGAATAAGGACCAAAGGAGGCAGCACGGCCATTCTCAACCGGGAGGTTAAAGACCACTATATGCTCACCATCAAAGCTTCGGAGAGGAACACCAATTTAGAATGTCGCACTAGAGTCAAGGTGCAGGTACAAGACACCAACGATCTTAGGCCACTCTTCTCACCGACATCCTATAGCATCTCTCTACCAGAGAACACAGCTGTACGCGCAAGTGTGGCCAAGGTCATGGCAACCGACGCAGACATCGGTACGAATGGAGAATACTACTACAGTTTTAGAGAGTGGACGGACATGTTTGCTGTTCATCCAACGAGCGGCGTGGTAACGCTGACTGGAAAACTTGACTACTCTGAGACAAAGCTCTACGAGTTGGAGATCTTGGCTGTGGACAGAGGAATGAAGCTCTACGGCAGCAGTGGCTTTAGTAGCATGGCCAAACTTACAGTCAGGGTGGAGCAGGCCAACGAGCATGCACCTGTAATTACTGCCTTGGCCCTGATGCCCTCTGATTCAGACCATGATCCTACGTATGCCATTGTGACGGTGGAGGACAAAGACCAGGGACCAAACGGAGAGATAGCATCACTAAGCATTGTTGCTGGTGACCCACTACAGCAGTTTAAGGCTGTGAGAAGTAGCCCTGGGAGCAAAGAATATAAGATAAAAGCGGTCAAAGATGTGGACTGGGATAGCCAGCCTTTTGGATACAACCTCACTTTACAGGCAAAAGACAAGGGCACCCCCCCTCAATTTTCATCTGCTAAATTAGTACACGTCACTTCGGCACAGTTCCAAAAGGGCCCTCCTGTATTTGAAAAGTCCATTTACAGAGTTAGCCTTAGTGAATTTGCCCCTCTTCACACCCCCGTCACCATGGTAACAGCTGTGCCAAAGTATCCACATGTAAAATATGCATTTAAACAAAGTTCAGACAAGAACAGGTTTACCATCAATCCGGATACTGGCTTGATTAGCACTGGAGGACAAATCAGTGCAGATACTTCCCCACAGTTTGAAATGGAGGTTATCACCAGTGACAAAAAAGCAGCTACAAAAGTGATTGTTGATGTGATTGATGTGAATAACAATGCACCCGAATTCCAGCAGACATCTTACAAGGCCAGTGTTGATGAGGATATGCCAGTTGGGACCAGTGTTGTAACTGTGAAAGCCACAGATCTAGACAGAGGGGAGAATGGCTATGTGACCTACAGCATTACCAATCTGAGTCCCCAGCCATTTGTCATCGATTACTTTTCTGGTGTCATCAGCACTTCAGCAGTCCTCGATTATGAGCTAATGCCCAGGATTTACAATCTCAGAGTCAGAGCGTCAGACTGGGGATCCCCTTTCCGGAGAGAGGTGGAGGCTTCGGTTACCATAACTTTAAATAACCTGAATGACAATAAGCCTTTGTTTGAAAACATAGACTGTGAAGTGACTGTGCCCAGAGATCATGGCGTGGGAGAGCAGATAACGACAGCATCTGCCATAGATGCTGATGAGCTACAGCTTGTGCGATACAGCATTAAATCTGGAAATGATCTTGATCTGTTTGAACTGAATCCAAACTCAGGGCTGCTTTCACTGAAGCGCACGCTGACTGAGGGAGAGGCAGCTAAAGTGTCTTTTCATAGTCTGCAAATTGTAGCCACTGATGGTGAACATGATACCCAGCCTATGATCATGAACATTACTGTCATCACCGCACGCAAACCTGTCCAGTTGAAATGTGTTGAAACCGGCGTGGCAACAATGTTGGCGGAAAAGCTGCTTCAGGGTGGCAAGATCCACACACATATCGAACCAGATGACAACTTCATGGACATTCACTCAGTCAACCGGTACTCTCCTCAGTTTGCAGACTCCTTTCCAAGTGTGATTGAGGTTAAAGAGGACCTCCCTGTTGGGGCCCGGATTGTCCATCTCAGTGCCACAGACTTGGATAGCGGCTTTAATGGCAAATTAGTGTATGTTATTTCGGGAGGAGACACCGAAAGCCACTTTGTAGCTGATATGGAAACTGGCTGGCTTTTGATTTATTCTCCTCTTGACCGGGAAGTGACAGACCACTACACCCTTAACATCACAGTTTATGATCTCGGGATACCACAGAAATCCTCTTCACGTCTGTTGGATGTGAAAATCCTAGACGCCAACGATAATAGCCCACAGTTTATGCAAGATTCTTATTCTGTGGAAATAAGTGAGAGCACACCTGTTGGGACAGAGATTATCCAGGTGGATTCGACAGACAAGGATCAAGGAGAAAATGGAAATGTCAAGTATTCAATATTGGGAGGCACCGATTATTTTGCGATCAGTGAGATAACAGGCGTGGTAACTGTGACAAAGCCATTGGATCGCGAGCAATACCCATTCTATAGCTTGAAGATTGCAGCACGTGACCAGGCAGTAAGTGAGCCTCAGCTGGTGTCCACTGTCCCTCTTAAAATCACCTTAGAAGATGTAAATGATAATCCGCCAAAATTTGTTCCCCCCAATTACCGCGTGAAGGTGAGGGAGGACCTCCCTATAGGAACTGTGATTATGTGGCTGGAGGCTCATGACCCTGATATTGGACCTTCCAGCCAGGTACGATACAGCCTTACTGACAATGGAGACGGGAACTTTGAAGTTGACAAAATTAGTGGTGCTCTCAGGATTGTTCAGAATCTGGACTATGAGACGAAACAAGTGTATAATCTTACAGCAAAGGCCAAAGACAAAGGGAAGCCAATATCTTTGTCATCAGCCTGCTTCATTGAGGTGGACGTGGTGGATGTCAACGAGAACCTCTACAGACCTTTGTTCCGATCATTTGTGGAAAAAGGATTTATTAAAGAGGATGCTCCCGTCGGGACTTCTGTGATGACTGTTTCAGCTCACGATGAGGACACAGGACGAGACGGGGAGATCCGGTACTCCATAAGAGATGGGTCTGGCCTGGGGATATTTTCCATTGATGAAGAAACTGGTAAGTCTGAATATTTAATAAATCTATTTAAAACCTGTGTTAATATCTTGAATATACATGTATGTTATATAAAAACCTGTGTTAGAGGAGTTTTAGGGTGAGTTGAATCAGTCATGTTCCACATAGTGAAACAATGAGGTAAGGGAATCTTCTAAGGGAATGTTCCTGATTGTTGGGGGGGGTTGATAGCAGGAACAGATGGACTGCAAACCTTTGTGGACATCCCGGTTTAGTTGCTGTGTTTGTCCCAATTTACAGAGGAATATCACATTTCCTTATCCCTTTATGCTTCTACAACATGCATACTTTCACAGTGAAATGGTTTGTATTGAAAAATGGCCAAGTCTGTTTTGACATTTAAAACAATAGTATGTTTCCATTGTGATGTAGATTAAAAGGATTTGCCTGTGGACTTCTTTGTTGCAGAAAATATGTTAATACATGCTCAGCTGCCTTGAATGATGTTAACAGCTGACTCAAATTAGCACTAAATAAGCGGTCTGGGATTCTGAGAGGTCATATCCAAGACCTTGCAATCACTTGATTTGGATCTAATGGAACTATTTACCTGCTTTCTTTGTTTTCTAAGGAATTTTAATGTGATTTTTGTTCAAAATTTGTAACTAAGATTTTTGCAGCATGGTTCATATTTAATATCTAAATGTAGCAGTGAAACTAATGTATAATTTATACATATGGCAAAGAAGCAGAAAAGTTCATTGCTGCATAAGAACATGCTATTTGTCAGACTGCTGCTTTTCCTGCCTCAGCGCTGCTTTCTTGCTTTAAGATAGTGTTTATTAGGACGTGGCTTTATGTGAATAATCCAGAATGTTGACAGGGTGAGAGTAAATCTTTTTTAAAACACTTTTTGCAGAAGGAGACAAGGCTTTAGGGAGGATGTGCATTCTAGGTTTCAGTTTTAGGGTGTTTCTGATTGTGTCTGTGGTGGTGGTTGGAGATCTGATTAGTAATATAGTTTGGTGTCATCAGATAGCAGCTGAGCTATTTAAAAATTCAATACTTAAGTGAATACTGTCATGGAAGGAGAAACCTTTTTGCATTGAATTGCAAAAAAAGCACAAAACACAGTATTACTGCATTTCTCATATTTCATCATATCTTCATAAAAAATGTCTTGGATCAACAGAGACTCTCCTGCTGCCCGTGCGCAAATCAAAGCACAGTGATGCCTAAATGTAAGATGATGTGCTTCGGAAGCTGTGTTGAACTGTAACTACTGTTCAGGTTCATTTGTGGTAAAACAGCAATCAAAACAAACAAAGGTTGAGAGTTCTCAATCTTTTGAGGCTTTTCAAATGTTTTAAAAGCAGGACAATATTGTGTAAAGTTATGATAGAATATCAACACAAAAGCCATGGGCTAGCACTACCCTCCACATTAATCTTGTGTAGGGTACATTTCTTGTGTTTGTACCATGATGGCAGACATACCATAAATTGTCTCATTCTCTGCTGTCAGAGAATACAGTTAGATTTCTTGGGGCGACATGACAGGCTGTGATAAGCATGTACGTCTAAGTAAAAATCCAACAAGAGACTCAAATTCTAGAGCCAAGTTTTATCTTATGGTTTATCGCACAGGCTTTTATTAAGTGCTTATCAAGAGGTGCAATGAAAGGATTGTCCTGGGTTGGGTCCTGTTATTATGGATTTTATATGAGGTCAGCAGACAACTAAATACAGCTAAGGTGGTAATGCCCCTCCCATGAATTCTCTAGATTAAGGGTGTGGTTTGTTAAGCAACCATATGTGTTTAGAATATTATGCCTTCAAAAGGAAAATATAGGCATGGGTGCACACCCTGCTGTATACTCAGTGCTGCAGCTGCATGTTGTGAATTTTAACCGACACATTCTAAAATGGTTTAAAATTGGAAAACGTACAAGTGATACGAGGAAACGTGGAACACACCTTAAGCTTTGAAATGTCCTTTTTCAGCACGGGTCAGGCTAAACTCCTAATGTCTTCTCATGTTTGATTAAATCTGTGCACGAGTGTGTTAAGAACACCTCGATCATCTGTGTGATGCTCACATATGCGGTGTTTGCTTGGTCTGTCACCACAGCGCGGTTCATTTTCCTTTTCCTCATAAATCCACTATAATACAGTAAAAAAAAAACACTAGAGTGTGTGTTTAACAAAGAGCTGTGGAAAGCATTACACTCTTTGGAGTCGCAACAAGAAAGCAAATCTCCCAGAGTAGTTGTTTCTAACAAATCTGAATAAAGTTTAGAATTGGAGAGCAGAGTAACAGGCTGTACTCTCAAGCCATGCTGGAAACAACCATTCTTCTTTTATTTTTTTGAGACTCAGTGATGGCATTCTAAAGCAGTGCCTTAATAGGTGTTTACAGAATACCATGCTGGTCTCATTTACATCAGCACAACTCAGAGACAGTCATCCTCGGTATTCTCCCTCTCAGGTCATGAAACCTGGAGTAACTGTTTGTCCAGACATTCTCTGCATTGTTAAAAACACAGTGGTCACTGGATCAGTGCCGTTGGAATTCTCCTCACTTAGGCTCTTTACCTGCATACCAGTTTGAACTCCTTACTTTTATTGGCAACTTTGCTATGAAAAGACATCTGAATGCAGCAGATAATAAAAGCTTTTATGCCCTCATAAGAGCTGATGGTGACCTTTTGCCTTGCTCCATCCATCAATCCATCCATCCATCCATCCACATGCCACACCTTGTGTTGGTTCATTGAAGTTACATGTCAGAAATAAATCTGTGTTTAAATTTGTGAGAAGTTTCCTCCACCCCATGTCAGTGTACTTAGTTCCCCCACCATTTTGTGCTGAGAAGGAAGCACGCATTTAGCCTCAGACGGTTTTCATTCCATTCCAAGTGGTTGGCTGCTGATTTTCACGTTGATAATGGGTTTTCATGTTTTGGTACCTATGCTGGAAAATGTGTGTTTCTTTTCTCTTGCTCTCTCTCAGTTACCTATTCTGTTTTACAAAACACTTTAAACTAGTACTTTAAAGTCTTAAGATGAAAAAAGAGCAAACTTTTTTTTTTCTTTTGTTTGACTGGAGTCATAATAACACAGGGTTAATTTCAGACATGGGCAAGCAAACAAAAAAAAAAAGAAATATGTCAGACTTCACTTGAAAAACACCAATTTGCTGTCTGGTGAGGCTGACAGCAAAAATGAACTGTTAATCTTGTGGTAGAAAGACGAGTTTCCTGCCAGCTGAGCTAAAGTTGGGGATCTTGTGGTCCAGTGAATCTTAATTCTTTCTCATAACAGAAATGAAAAACGTTTAGGTGATGGGAAAATCTGCTGTGCTGTGACTGATACTAAAACCAAAGCAATCCCTTTCTTCCTCGCTCTAATATATTTTATTTCATCTTATGTCGTGCACTGGATGGGAAATGAATGAAACTCTGTGGTACTTTTATCCCTGAATCAAAAGAATGTTAGACAGGGGTATGCAGTTTACATTAGCCCTGCACCCCCCTCGCTTTCAGAGCTGCTGGCTAGTCTCACTGTGAATTGCTGCTTAGCTCACAGTAAAGCTGCAGCGTAAGCCAGTGGAGCTGGACATACTGTCGGTTGGTCAGTTGTTCAGGATGTTGTAACGGTCGTCTTTAGATATGCTTACAAGCTGAAAAAAGTCAAATGAGAGTGTGCCAGGGCCAGTCAGAATAGACTGGAAAAAACATTGATCCATTTAACTCTAACTTCCGCCCTCCTTCATACATACCAGCAATAAAACAGTACTTATCAGAAGAATCTAAACGTGTCCACTCAAATTGCACCTGACTCACCCTAACAAACCTCTCATTGGGCAACAATCACCACATGAAAGTCAAAGGTTGTTTTTATAGTCAGTGAGTAATTGTCTGTTCATTCCTTAGAAAATGATTTTATTCAAGGAACGTCCAAACTTCAGAACTGTGACAAAAAAAACACCCGCTAGAATTGCTTATTACTAAATATTTTGGTAATACAAAGTGTAAAAAGAACTCTTCAAGAAGATGTGTCCCAAATGCATTAAAAGTCAAATAGACATATGTAAAAGCCTATAATTATGTGCATAGATCTGAATACCTGGCACTAATGAGCTGAGAGAAGTTAGATGTAGTTTTAGGTGCTTTGGGCTATTTTTCCCATAATATCCTCCTGTTCATTCATACCAAGCGTATCTGTTCCTGTGGCATCCTTCCTGAAAGGGAGCGAGGAACGGAATATTGTGCAGTTATGTAAACTTACCTTTCGAATGTGTTCAAGTCAACTTGGATCTCTGCTTAAAGTGAAGTATTCAACTTTACAAGGTCAGAGGAGCAGATTGTGTTCAGTGTACATGAGAAGCAGATGCTGATTGTATAATGTATGCATTGCCCTTTCTTCTTGGATAAAATATGCATTGCCCTTTCACTTGAAGCTGTATGCAGCCTGTGCTGTGAAAGCTTTCTTTGTGAGAGCAGACAAAACAGTTTGACGCTCGATGACAAAGTCCTGCTCCATCCACACAAAAAAAAAAGTCAGTCTCACTTCTTTCTCCATCGCTTCCATGTTAAAGTAAACACATTATTGACAGAAGATGTAACGTCTTCTTGTTAAGATAAAGGCTTCGGCGTGAAGTATAGGTCTAACAATTGGTGCTGATTCCGTCTGTCCATCATTTCCCATATGTTTGAGATGGAAGTTGAGCTGAAAAGTGGTGCATGATTCCAAATTGTCTTTGCTTGAGTGCTGTTACTGTGGAGATGAGACCAGGAATGTGCAGCGGGACAAAGTTGATTGTAGGTTGCTAAATGAAAAGCACACGCTCCTCGGTTAAAAGTATGTTGTTCTTTCAGTCCATTAAATCTTTTTAAAGAAACCTTGAACAGTCTTGTGCACAAGATGTGCTTTATTATGTGTTAATTCAATGTCGAGCTGGCATTCACTTAGGAATTAGAGCTGCCATGTTGTAGGTAGTATTGGGATGACCTTCTCGCAAGAAATGTCTTTTAGATGAGCA